AGGTAGAGTGCCAATATGGTGTTGACCTTTCAATGAATTATGTTTGGCGTTCCTTTTTGCTACCCCCTCAACTTTATCTTTACCGATAGCACTGATTGCGCCCACGCAGCGCATATTCCTAATGGTCAACGTTTGCTAAATCCAGACAAGCAAATGTATTTTCGTAGTTAGGGTCCTTTTTGTACCGGCTGCGACCACAAGCTCCAGCTGGAATTCATTTAGTCACGAGGTTTTGAAAGGAATTTTGAAAAATGCATAGTTTTTTTCTTTTTCATTCAGGAGGAAAATCTCGTTGCCACGGATATGCCTATTGACACGCCTTCAGAGAATATGCTCAACTTCATGCGTAAACACTACTGCTCAGAGGCACCCATTTGGCAGTCCAATAACTTTGTGGTCTTTCCGTTGTTTTTTGCGCATGCCGAGAAATTCATGAAACCCCGAAGGATGCGTTCAGCCACGCCCTGCGCTCGGTCTCCTCCTCTGGCCAGACCGAGTCAAGGGAGCTTAACAATGCGCGAGCTCCCGGTTAAACCTGCCGTCTGCTCCACGGACTCGGCAGTTCAGGTTACTCCGCAAGTTACGAATATCCAGCTGCCTGGTGCTATTGAACGTACTTCCAACAGTCTATCGAAAACGGATTCCACAAAGCCCCCAGTTGAGGATCCCACCCCAACGAGGTTTCTCCCCTCGGTCAAAGTTGGAAACGATGCGATGGAGAAAATGCCGCCCCCAGGGGTATCCAAACGCGAATCCAATAAGCTGTCAAGCTCTGATCAGTCTTCTTCGAACTCCGTTAGGTTGGTGCCTCTGGTTTCAGCTTGTATAAAATATCTACTGAAGTGTTTTAGTAGGCGTGTTTGTGTTGTACAATATTTTCGCGTTTTTGTAGGTCTGCCGTAGAAAACGGTAATACGCCGTTGTCTTTGAAAGACCTTCAAACCCTCTGCCAGCTTTCAACCCACCCCCGAAGCTACTCCTACCAGTCTGCAGTTAGAACTCACAACAAACACACTCGCCTATGGTAGGATCGGAGGGCTCCCCTAAGCTGCTCTTGCCCGTAAAGCCGGCCAATCTCTTTGCTTACCTATGTATCTAGTACTCATTCCTTGTTGTGTCCTCAATCGTCCATCTTGTTGGCTGTGATATATTCTGAATCTTTTCAGTCAGTCTTTGTGTGTACGTGTATGTCTAACAGTTCGTCCTTTAAGCGACCTACTTGTGTGTACTTTTGCAGTCAATTGTGTCTTTTCCTTCCTTTATGTCTTATCCCCTGGCATTTTTTGCGGGCCAGATTACTTTCAGACCTCTGCACCATACAGTAACTGAAAAATCCAAAAGACAGTTTTTTTCTAGCATTTTCAAGATCCGACCAAGGATGTTAAGCAGCTTTCGGAGCTTGATTTAACCCTGTAACGTGTGAAATAACTTTGGAACCGTTTAGCAAGAGGGGGCTTTCTTCAGTGTTCAGGCAGGTGCTAGACCGATTACCTCATACTGTTGTCTCTCTGATTCGGTACTGTTTTCCGCAGTCGTTCCGGCATACTTGCAGCGGTAAACAAGGCATGAAGTTGTATAAATAGCACCCGTGTTTCAAAACTTGTTGAATGCTTGTTTGAACCGAAAGCCCCTGAAACGTGAGGTCATATTTGAGTCCCTGCAGTTAGTAGCATCAATTACAGCTCTAACTTAGCTTTATGTCTCAAGCACCTAACTACCTCTATTAGGGCCTCCAATAGCACATGCAGGAACTCCAAC